CCAGCAGTTTTGGGGCTGAAGTACCAGGTTTAAGTTTCAGCGGGTGGAAGTCCCACCAAAGACTGCACAGCTGCGCCTTCTCGCCTGCCCACAGCGGTGTCTCTCTGTCGGCGAAGCTTGTTTAGATGGGGGATCAAAGTTTTAACGCGGCGGTCGCCCCTGCGCTCCAATGGCGTAGGATGGTCTGGCTTGCGACCCCACAGCCTATGAGAGCACTAGCCAGTCGCGTGGAGTTGTTGCGACTTTGGGGCGCGGCGAGGCCCCTGGAGGCTGGTCCGTGGAGCGCCTCGAGAGGGCCCTTGGGTCGCGCGGCGCTTGTGCTCTCAAGGGCGGGCTGGGGGGCCAGGGGCCCGTTGGAGTGGTATGGCCACAATGGGCTTGAGGTCCTTGTGGGGCAGACCCCGCCTGCCCTCCTAGCCGACCAGATAGAATTGCGAGTTCAGCGAGCTCCTGGTATGCATTTAGCCAGTAGTTTAAGATACCTCCCCTGGCACAGGGCCACCTTCGATCCAAGTCGATCTCGTTTGGGGCCGAAGGCTCGGGGGTTGAGCAAGCAAGCCAAGTTTTTGATCAGGAGGTGTGATTGTAACGGAGTGTGGGCCAACGAAAGAGGTCGACGGGCGGGTTATGCGACGGACGGTCGCTGCTCGCGCGGCCAGGTCGACGCACTCCACCACGGGCCCGATGCGCGCACCCGAGAGGACGTGGCCCGAGCCAGAGAAGAGGCTGAAGTCACAAGGGCGTTTTTGGAAGCGGCTCGCGCAGACCCAGAGCTTGAGATTTTCACCAGGGGCATTTTTGTGCACCCTGACAGCGAGCTGCCAAAACCGTCGGTGTCTTCTGAGGTCGAGGCGTTTGATGTGTCTGGCAGCCCGCTGTCACTGGACCCCGAAAAGCTTTCGGAGGGGGGGGGGGGGGGGGGGGGGGGGGGGGGGGGGGGGGAACTTTAAGACTCGCCTCAGGCGGCTCCTGTTCTAAGCCCCCGATCCGCGCGTTACAGGGAGCGGCGTGGGCCATCGGGGTTTTGCCTGCCAGCGGGGCTCAGCCTGAGCCTGTCGCTATCATGCGTGGAGTGGGCCACGGCACCTTTCCACGGGCGCCTGCTGTGGTGGAACATGTGGGAATTGCGCTGTGCGGCCAGGTTGCGAACCGAAAAAAATCAGTTCTCGCCGCTGATTGCACGTCAGCCATCCGCATTGCACAGAGCAGCGTTGAAAACAAGTGCAGGCCTCGTGTGAGTTCGCTGGCATCGGGTTGTTTGCTCAGTCACTTGAAGGCACGAGCTTCATTAAGAGGTCTGACATGTGAAAGCTCACCGTTCGACTCAGGAAATGGAATCTCTTGAGATGGCCGGCCGTGAATATGCAGTTGCGAATACTGCTGTGGTTTATCGCGCTAAGATGGCATTGGCATATCATCCATCAGCTGATCCCCTCTTTATGCAGTCATTCTCTTTGGCCGAGGAGAGAGCGAATAACTTTGTCAAACTGGCTGCCCGTGTGCTGCTGTTGTTCGAGGTATCGACGAGGTGGACCCGGGCTGCCCCGCGCCGCAGGAACATCTCTGTTATCAGGCAGCAGTATCATGAGTGGCACTGCCATCCCAACCTCGGCTACCAGTGCAGGAGGTGCTTGCAATTTGGAGGGGATGATCAGTCGAGTTTAGAGATAAATTGATGCGTGGGCGCCCCAGTTGGCATCAGTAGGCTTCTCAAGGACCCCATGGGCCACATTGTCGTGACGGCTGGGTTGCAGCTCGATCAACTGGTCCCCTCGGTGGCTGTTCGTGCTATGGACCCTGAGAAGCGATGCTGGATTTGTCTAAGATGTGGAGCATGGTCCCAGGGCCGTGCTGTGAAGTTGGCGAAGCCCTGCGTTAGGCCCGATGAAAGGCCCACTAAGAAAGGTCAGGAGGTTTTGAAGCGCTACAACCGGGGTGAGCCGCCGAACCGTCGAGTACGGGTGCTCTTGGGGCGTAGTATTGGCCTCCTTTCGCTCGCCTCCTCGGTCGTGTCGGCCCCCTCGGAGCGCGCGCCTGACTTTACGGTGGTGCCAGTCGGATTTTCGGCCGCCAGGGGAGTACCCAATCATGAGCAACGAATGGCGGCCCTGATGGACCGTATACGTATTAAAGAAGCCAGACAGTCTGGCTAGTCACTCTGATCTGTTCAGACCTGAGTGCTGTGCACTTCCTTTTTTTTTGTGCATTCCATTCCATTCCATTCCATTCCATTCCATTCCATTCCATTCCATTCCATTCCTCCTTCTTTTACCCCTCCTCCTCCTCCTCCTCCTCCTCCTCCTCCTCCCCCTCCTCCACCACCCTTTGTGGCACGGTCATCAGCTCGTCGTTGTTGTCGTGGTGCCTGGCGAGCGAGGCCCGAGCTTCCGCAAACTTGGTTCAGTTTCGAGCCTCGGGAACGTGGAGTTCCCAGCCCTGAATTCGGATCGGCGCGATTTTCGAAAACTGGTTGGCCCAGGCGCAGCGCCTGACTCCACTCGTACTCATTGTCGCCAGCGTGGGTAGTACCCCGGCCCCGTCAGCCCCCCTCCAAAAAAAAAAACATCCCAGCTCGTCCATGCAGGAGCAGCGCCTGTGAGGAGTCTACAGTCTACGCTTGCTTGAACCCTGATATCCGACGTCTTGCTGTTTTTCGCAACGTCCCCAGAGGTCCAGATCCCCTCCCTGGGACCCGTTTTTCCTCCCGGGTCGTCCTTGGACGGTCCCAGGGCCCAGTGAAGGCCAATGAGAGCGGCTCAAAACCTCCCGCCGTATTTTCTCATCGCAGCGGGAGGAGACGGGGGAAGCCGTACCCCATTCCTGAGATCCGACGTGGCGAAACATTGCACCATCGTGAAACATCACGCCCAGAGCCCTAAACCCCATCTCCGTGCTTCGCAAACGCCCGGCCCAGAAAACTTGCGACGCCAGGGTCTCAGGGGTGAGCTTAGATGCTCCAGCCCAGACCCCCGACGTCGTGATTTTATCGCAACGTCGACCCCCAGAGGTCTGGACCCCTTCCTTGGGACTGATTCTTCGTCCTGGGCCGTTTGTTGATAGTCCCGAGGCCTGGGAAGGGCCCCTGGAGGCCCCACGTGGCAAAATATGGCACGTCGTGATTCTTTCACCGCACGAGGGGCTCTGGGCAGGGATGAGCTCAGATGCTCGGGTGCAGCTGCCGGGCGGCACGGGGCCGCTGCCGTCCTTTGCCCGCGGAGGAGGGCCCCACTGGAGGACCAGGACCCGACCAATGGCAGCGCCGCTGCCACCCCGCGCGACCGCCACTCAGCGCTCATGCCGCACGCAACGTCCATCTGCAGGTGGAATATTCGAACATAGTCAAACAAGAGCCTGGGGTCATTTTTTTTATTTATTGTTTTTGACTACTGTGGGGCATTTTTTGGCGATTTCGTACTTCTCGTCTGAAGTCCGCCTGTAGGGGGACATGCCGAACCTAATGCATGCTGGTCGGCTGCGCGTAAGAGTAGCCCTTCGCTGGAGGGACCTTTCGGTGTGGGCCCACATAGGACAGGGGCTAGGACTCAGAGGAGGAACAGGTACCCCCCATGCCTCGACCCTTCCCTCGTTTCCCCCTTTTTGGGCTTCCTGTGAGGTCTTTGCCACCACCGCTGAATTCGCATCGAAATCCATGTCAGAACGCACCCCAGGAAAGGTCCGGGGAGTGGCGGTATCGGTACCTTTTTGGTTCCCCCAAGGACGAGGACAAGCCCGCTCCACAGCGTTCCAGAATGCTCTGAGGAGGCCGCGGCGCCCGAGGCATCCTCCAGAGCCGCCGGATGAGAGAGATTCTCGATGGTATCCTCACCTGATTTTATCCTCGTCCTGGCTTCGCCTTGCAGTCAAGACGCTGACCGCTTTGGGCTCAGGAGGGGCTCGGGTTTCCGCGTCGTTCCTTAATTCGACGCATGTTGTAGTGGGGCCTACAGTCGACTGGACCGCAGGCCCGCCGTGGCCAGAAAAGCCCTAAGCTTCTTATCCATTATGCGTTGCTTGTGGTCGCACGATGACTTGTGAAAGGCCTGAAGCCTCGGTACTCTCGAGGTGCTCGAGAAATTCTTTCTGGCGATCAAGGCTAAAAGTCGGCTGGAACATGAGAAGGCTTGGCGCGGCCAGGGCTCCAAGCACCGTGCAGTGACGGACCACGTGCGGTGACCTCCCCAGACATGCAACGTCTTGATTTTTTCGGGACGGCGTCCCCGGAAGCCCCGACCCTTTCCCCGGGACCGGTTCTTCGTCCTGAGTCGTTTTTTGACGGTCCCGAGGCCTGGCGAGGGCCCGGGGGGGCCGAAAATAGCCAAACACCTACAGTTATGAATTTTTAACGACGCGATCATGTCTGGGTTTCTCATTGATTATGCGTTGCCTTTGGTAGCACGATGACTGCGCCTGTAGTGTGGGCCCACAGGGGTCCCTCCAGCATTGGCTGCCGCGCTCGGGTCCGGTCCTGGCGAAGGACCCAACCCCAGACATGATCGCGTCGCAAAAAAGTCAGGACGGGAGGTTTTTGGCTGTTTTCGGCCCCCGGGGGCCCTCGCCGGGCCTCGGGACTGTCAAAAAACGACTCAGGACGAAGAACCGGTCCCGGAGAAAGGGTCGGGGCTTCCAGTGATGCCGTCCCGATCAGGACGTCGCATGTTTGGGACCAAATGCAGTTGTGAGTGCCGCTCGGGACGATCGAAATGGGTACCGAAAGTAGTTTTTGCTTATTTTGGGCAGGACTTACTTTCGGTGTCGCCGCGGACGGTGTCCATTTGAGACAGAGTGCCGCCTGCCCAACAGTGGCCGCTGTTGGTTTTGGAAAACATGTGCTGTTGGGCATTGTTCATATTTTTTCGTGCCCATTTCGGGCGTCCAAAACCGCCGTTGTGAAGAACGCCTTCGGTGGAGCTCGCTTCGGGGCCACGAAACGCGTGAAGGGAGCACCGAAAGGAGGTGGGGCCGCCATGCGGGCGCTGTCTGCCTGCCCCCCCCGCCGCCAGGTGGGCTCGGACGAGCTCACGGTCAACACGGACATCAAGCAGGCGACCACAGGGGCAACGATAGGGGGGATGGGCAAAGGGGGGCATGCCTCGGCCCCCCCACGCTCGCTGATCGCCGGTGTAGGTTCTGATAGCTCCAACCCCGCCCAGGGAGGTGGGGATTTGCTGCTAAGATTGGTGCGAGGGTTGCTAAGGGGATAGGGGGGGTTATCAGTGGACGCCGAAGGGATTGTACCTGGCCTAACCTAGCTTATATGTGGGTTACACATGCCCCAAGTGGGTTAAGGGGGATGAGAAAACTCCGCTAAGTGGGCGGAGCCCACTTAGCCTGGATCGCTATCACCCCAAGCCACTTGGGTCATTTGCAACACACTAATGAGCTAGGTTAGGTCAGCTATAACCCACCCTGGCATCCACTGACAACCCCCCTATCCCCTTAGCAACCCCCGCGCGCATCCCAGTATAGGGAGCCTATCGCCGATCTATGCGATGTATCGCCGATTCCAGGTGTCGCCGCTCCGTTTGCTCCGACGCGCGGTCTTGCGTCTTGGGGAGGGCGCCGCGGACACCAGGGCAGCCGCCGCCCTGGGGCGCGGTGGCTTTCCCCGGGGCTCTGCTGCGGTGCCGGCTGCGTCTCCTTAGGGCGCGGGGCGCCGGGCCTGCCGTGGGTTTTTGCCGTGGTGTCGGCGCCGTCCACTTGGGGTGCGTCGAGAACGAACGGCACCAGTTCCCCCCCTGTGCTTGGCCCTCGCGACCGCGGGCCGGCCCCCCAGCCCGCCGGCACGGGAGCGGCGGAACTGGCTGCAGCTGGACCGAGGTCTGCGATGGAGGTCGGTTCGGGGAGTGTGCCCTCGTGCTCCTCGTGCTTGCTGGATGCTCTTGTGCATCTTGGGGAGGATACCCTCGGATGTGTTATGTTATTTGGGGTGGGCGGGTGAGGGCCGGCGGAGGGTCTCGTGTTCTTGAAGGATGTTCTTCTGGCATCGGTCCGACTGTATACGCGTAGGGTTAAGTCGGGCACGTCCCTCTACAGGAGGAATATTCAAAAGCAGAGACAGTCTGAGGACGACTTTTCGTTTTTTTTCCATTATTTTTAAAGATCTTCTTTTTTCAATGTTTAATGTTTCGTCCAACATCCGCGTATAAGGGGACATGCCCGACCTAACGCTGAGCACGACACGTTAGCGGCTTCTTGCGTGCTTGGATTTGGCCACGTTGCACCCCCACAGTCCGCGCACCACAGGTCACTTCTTGCCTAGGAGCCACGCTTGCGTGCAGCCGAGGGTGGGTGTGGGGAAGTGCACCAGCGAGCGAGCGACCCAGATGTCCGACGGTACGGTGGAGGCGTTGGGAAACGAATGTGCCCAGGAGGCACCAGACCCTGGAGGATTCCTTATCGGATGAGGGCGGCAGTGACATCCACAGCCAATCAGCAATTGGAGTTCCACCAGCTTCCAGACCCTGGCTTCCTTATCCAATGGTTCCTTACTGAGATGGGCGCGGGGGTTGCTGGGGGAATAGGGGGTCTACCAGTGGATGCCAAGGTGGGTTATACCTGGCCTAACCTAGCTTTAAGTGGGTTACACATGCCCCAAGTGGCTTAGGGGGAATAGACAAATCCGCTAAGTGGGCAGAGCCCACTTAGCCTAGATCGCTATCCCCCCAAGCCACTTGGAGCATGTGTAACCCACTTATAAGCTAGGTTCGGCCAGATATAACTCACCTTGGCATCCACCGATAATTCCCCTATCCCCTGAGCAACCCTGGTCCTTCGCTGAAGTGACCTTCGGCGCGCACGCGCGAGGGACCCAGCTCTCCGACGTCATGTTTGTTTCCCAATCTGGGCGCTGTTCCTGGATTTGGGCCTCCTGGGCCCGTCGGCGGGCCCCGAGACAATCCCAAACGGATGCAGGGCGCGAAACTGTCCCCAGGGGAGGGGTCGGGAGCTATGGGGCCGCAGTTTGAAGCAATCAGATCGGGGGATGTCTGGGTAAGAGTGGCCCTTCGCTGAAGTGACCTTCGGTGCGGGCCCACATGGGGTCCCTCCAGCACTGGCTGGCGCGATCGGGCTTGGTTTGGCCCCCCCCCCTGCAGCCGCGCACTACAGGCCACTCTTGCCCTGGGTCGCTCTTACGCGTTGCCGACGGAACAAGACGGGTCCGATTCCGCCGACGTTCTCGCGCAGGCTGCCCGTGTAAGGCACGGGCACCAAACAGGCGACTACGGACTGGCCCTGCCTGCCAACTCAGACCTCCAACGGATTGAGGAATTCAATTCTGAGTTTATTTGCCGTTTTCGGTCCCTGGGGACTCTTGCTGGGCCGCGAGACCGTCAACGAACAAGTCGGTGTGAAACACTGGCCCAGGGGAAAGGGTCGGGACCTCCAGGGATCGCGTACGGAAAACGTGAGCGACGGAACAAAACGGGACCGACTGCGCCGACGCTCGCGCGTAGGCTGCCCGCGTGAGGTCGCGCGTGCGCGCCCTCGCTCCCAGTGTGGCGTGCTGTGCTGGCGGCCCGCGTAATTCACCGCGTACGGGCGCTTTGCCATCTCGCGTGCGACCCGTTCCCAGACGTGCGATGTTAGGATTTTCTCAACACGGGGTCTCTGGAAGCCTCGACCCTTTCCCTGGGGCCGGCTTTTTTCATCGCGACTCGCTTTCTGACGGTCCTGGGGTCTGGCGAGGGCGCCCCCACACCCGGAGCCGAAACCGGCCCAAAACTTCCCGTCGTGATTTTCGAGTTTGTTTTTTGACAGTCCTCGGGCCCGGCGAGGGACCCCCGGAGGCCGAACTTCCCGTCGTTTTTTTCGAGTGATCGTTGTTCGAAAATGCGGAGGCCGAAAACTGCCCAAAACCTCCCGTCGTGATTTTCGAATTCGTTTTTCGGCAATCCCAGGGCCCGGCCAGGGCCCCCGGAGGCCGAAAACGGCCCAAAATTTGCTGCGCGTTGTGATTTTCGAGTTTATTTTTCGACGGTCCCCGGGCCCAGCGAGGGCCCCCAGAGGCCGAAAACAGGCCAAAACCTCCCGTCGTCGCTTTGCGGCGGTCCCGGAGCCCGTCGAGGGCCCCCAGAAACCGAAAACGGGCTCCAGACCTCCCGTGGACGTTTTGGAACGTTCCCGGGGCCCGGCGAGGCCCTCCAGAGGCCGAAAATTGATTCTATAGACCTCCCGTCGACGTTTTGCAACGTTCCCGGGGCCTGGCGAGGGCTCCCGTTGCAGCCCTTCGTGGCCCCTCGCTACCCTTCGTGAATCCGTTGCATCCCTTCGTGCCCCCCTCGCTGCCCTTCGTGGCCCCGTTGCAGTCCTTCGTGGCCCCCTCGCTGCCCTTCGTGGCCCCGTTGCAGTCCTTCGTGGCCCACTCGCTGCCCTTCGTTGCCCCCCATATGTGTATGCCCTTCGTGGCCCCCGCTCGTTCGCGCCCTTCGTGGTCCCATATGGATGCGTTTCGTGGCCCCGCTGTCGCTCTTCGTGGCCCCCTCGCTGCCCTTCGTGGCCCCGTTGCCGCCCTCAGCGGCCCCGTCCTTGCCGTCTGCGGCCCAATATATGTATGCCCTTCGTGGCCCCCGCTCGTTCGCGCCCTTCGTGGCCCCATATTCATGCCCTTCGTGGCCCCGCTGTCGCCATTTGTGGCCCCTCGCTGTCCTACGTTGTCCCGTTGCTACCCTCAATGACCCCGTCGTTGCCTTTTGTGGCCCCGCATTATCTGCTCTTCGGTCCTCGCTTGTTCGCGCCCTTCGTGGCCCCATTCGCATGCCCTTCGTGGCCCCGCTGTCGCCCTTCGTGGCTCCCTTCCTGCCCTTTGTGGCCCCGCTGTCGCTCTCGCTCTTGCTCTCGCTTTCGCTCGTCGTCGTCGTCGTCGTCGTCGTGGTCGGGCTGCCGCCGATCAGCGCTGCCGCTGGCCAGGCCAACAGTCCGCGGCCGTCCCGCCGCTTGCTGGGGCCCGGCCTGCAGGGGAGAAAGATATACCTCCCAAAGGGGTACGATCGAAGACGAAGAAGGCGGGTATCGAGGGTTTGGGAAATACACGTTGAATGACACTCGAGCAGGTACGAATGAACAGTCTTAAACTGAGTGTTGTAGTTGTTGCTGTTGCTGTTTCCTTGTTGTTGTTACGCTTCGTGTGGGGCCATGCGCCACGCCTATCCCAAAGTCGGCGCGTTCGAGATTCTATCTTTCAGACGGTGGGACCAGATCTTTGTTCCCCATATCCTAAATGGGGCTCTTGTTATTACTTTCACCGCGCCGGAAGGACAATCACACCCACACCTCACTTATCCCTCAGACTCGCACACTACTCAGACCCGCTCATGCTCTGACTCGCTCTTTTATATTACGATATGCTTTGTGATGCTGATGATGATGCTGATGTTGATGGCGGTGATGATGGTGGTTGTGATGATGATGATGATGATGATGATGATGGTGATGCTGATGATGGTGGTGATGCGGATGATGAGGATGATGATGATAATGGTGATGCTGATGGTGGTGGTGATGATGCTGCCAGTCTTGCTGATGATGCTGTTTATGATGATGACGGTCATGATGATGACGGTCATGATGATGATGCTGCTGATGATGATGCTGATGCTGATGCTGATGCTGATGCTGATGCTGATGCTGATGCTGATGATGATGATGATGATGATGATGATGATGATGATGATGATGATGATGATGATGATGATGATGATGGCGGAGCATATTCTGATGATGTATAGAGCGAGGCGCGGGTTTCAGCACCCCCAAGGGGGAGCCGCCAGGGCGTATCTCACTCCTTCGTTCGCGCCAAAATAGCGGGGATGTCTCGAGCGCTTTGCCTGATTGTGCCCCAACATCATCCGCTTTCGGAGCAGATTTTGAGGATGTCTTGAGCAAGGCGCCCACAAGGGGGAGCCGCCAGGGCGTATCTCACGAGCGGTTTGCCTGTTTGTGCCCCAACATCCTCCGCTTTCGAAGCAGATTTGGAGGATGGCGCTGGTTATCGCACCCCTGGTGGCCCACATTGCGAGGATGTCTCGAACGGTTTGCTTGTTTT